AAAAAAAAAAAAAAAAGGGGGCTTCAACTAGATCATCATTTATTATGAATGAAAAATGAAGTACAATTCAGAAATTGAAATAGTTTCACAAACACACAACCAAATCGATTTCAATTAACCCATTGTGGTGTACTTGAATTGAGTGTTTTTATATAACTTACTCTCCTAGTGTAAACATGACAGCCAGTGAATTAGTTTGAATTTTTACTTAACTTAACTTCTGTTAACCTGATGGCTTAAAAGTTACTAAGAATTGTATAGTTTTGAGGGTTGTTTGAACAATTGATGCAGCTTGTTTGGTGGATACTTTTGTGGCATGATGCTGTGTTGCGTTGAATCTGGTGCTGATTGGCTCTGTTTTGTGTGCTTTGCCTCTGATGCTGCGGCTTTTGATTGATGCGATCTGTTTGTCCTGATTTCTGATTTGGTTGAGTTGTTTTGTTGCTGGTTTTGTTTGATTTGTTTTCTGACTGTTCTGGTAAATAAGGTTAATTGCTGCGTCAATTCTGATTTGGTTATATGATTTTGTTTGGGTTGCCAAGTTGAAATGGTTTTCTGAACTGGTGATGATCTGTGTTGAATCAGTTTGCTGATCTGCTATTCTTCTGGTTCTGCTGTGATGTTGCTGCTGTTGTTGAGATGCTGTGGTGATGCTGCTGTGATGGTGTTTGTTACGATAAGGTGCTGCTGTGCTGTTGTTGGATGTTTGCTGGTGTTGTTGATGTTTGGAAGGGTGCATGACTTTTTGTCCAATCTGTAATAGATCAGGTTTTCATTAATGGGGGTTGTCATTAGGTGTAAGTTCGGGCAACTGCTGGTGTTTTGGCTAGAAGGGTATGGAGGGGGTATTTTGTGTGATTTCATATTCATGTTATTAGTTTGTTATAGTGGTGCCTGAGGGATGCCTCTTGTAAATCTGTAAATTTTTAAAAAAATTATAAATGAGTTTCAATTATTTTTGCCGTTGCAAATTTGTCGTTGTTAAAAATGAAGCTTTCTCGATAAATAATTAGTCGGTAAATGTGTAGCTAAAAGTTTATTTTTGTCGACTCATATTGTGTTGCTAAAAGTGTATTTTTTGCCAATGTCAATTTGTCGTTGCCAAAACTAAAGCTTTATCGACAACCAAATCGATGGCAAATGGCAACATTTACCGATGTAAATGTGTTGCTAAAAGTTACTTTTCCCCACTCATATTGTGTTGGTAGAAGTGTTTTTTTTGCCAATACCAATTTATCGTTGCCAAAAGTAAAGCTTTAGCGACAAACAAATTGTCGGCAAATGGAAACATTTGCCGACGTAAATGTGTCGCCAAAAGTTTACTTTTGCTAACGCATATGTTGTTGCTAAAAGTATATTTTTTGCCCATGCAAATTTGTGTCGCGAAAAGTGCCACACAATCATCCTATTTGAATGACTTTTACCAACGCAAGGTAAATTGCCGACGATGGATGGAGGCTTTTAGCGACGACTATGTTCGTCGCTAAAGGCATTACTTTTACCAACGCAATCATAATTTCGTCGGCAAAAACTTTTGCCAACTCACTTTTGCCTACGGGTTGCCAACGTAGCTTTGTGTGTCGGCAAAACTCTTTGCCAACGAATTTTTCCTTTTAGCAACATATTTTGTTGCGTTGCGAAAAATGCAATTTCTTGTAGTGATTATATCTTTATTAACTATTTTAACCTATTTTATTTTTTTATGAATTTTAGCCAAAAACGACTAAAATCCAACTTGCCAAACACCCCCTAAATTAGTCAAACAATAAATAAATACACAAAGTAAAATAAAAAGTTATTTGAAATCAAAATACAATTATAAATACACCTTAACAAGTGGCCATAGGACACTCATTAGCATTATTTATTTATTTTTTTGATATATCAAAAATCTCATTAGCATTAGTTTATAATAAGAGCATTGCTATTAGATCTCATAAGAATGTTATCAATAATCAATTAATGTGTGTCATATAAGATGCTGCATGAAATGTGAGAGGGAAAAAAAAAAAGATCATTGCAGTTGATGACTATCACTAAGGAAAAATAATATACAATTCATTTTTTAGATTTACTTTTTAGATCTAGTGATGTGTAAAAAAAAGATGATTGACTGATATTAGAGAAAATAGAAAAATGAGAGAATTTATTTTAAATATTTTAATAGATTTTCATATTATTAGATTTAAAATTAAATATAATTTCAAGTTAGAATAACACTATCCATTAATAAATGGTGATATATCATGCTAATTAATAAGTTAATAATACACCATATTATCTCGACCACATGACGTAATTGTTATATAAAATACTTTCTTAACTCATTACAAATGATAACTACAAAGTTCTTAACAATTTTTCAATGGGGAAATCACAATCCAGTATAATTATTTAAAAAAATTTAAATTCAATATTAAATTTATAAAATTTTCATTAATTTGTAATTATATTTTTTTTTATATCACTAAGCCTCCGTTTGGGAAGTGGGTTGGCTTTTTGGCTTTTTGGCTTTTTTGACTATTTTAGCCTGGGCTAAAAAACTTGGTTTGGGAAGGGCTTTTTGGCTTTTTTTGTGAGAGAAGAAAGTAATGATTATAGGTTGGATGTGATGTTTTGTTTGTTATGGCTAAAATAGCCTATTTTATTTTTTGTGACTAAAATAGCCAAAAAAACCTGAAAAAGCCATTGCCAAACACAGGTTGAATTCTATTTTCTCTTTTTCAAGTGCCAATTAGAAGAGATGTCTTCCATGATCTAACTAGTCAACTGTACCACAAACGATCATGGTGCTCATGCACACCAAATAGCTGTATATATATGACTGAATAGTAGCAAGCAGAGAGATAAATGAAGCACCATTTACCAACAAAGAGAGATAAAGAACAACAATGAAGTAGAGATAGGGAGAGAGATAGAGAGAGATGAAATCAAACATAGTGGTTGTAATTCTATTAGCATTGCTCTTGATCACTTCAACATTTGCAGAAACCAGAAGCCTTTCAAAACATAGAAACCAACACAGAAGAGAAGAAGAAGACAACAAGAGAAGAAGCAGTACGACTAGAAGAGGAAGATCAAGATCAGGAGGATCAGGATCAGGATCAGGATCAGGATCATCAAACTGCGATCCACTGTATCAGTACCTCTTCGGCAGCTGTGGCCAATGGCCTTTCACTCGCTCCTCTCCGGACAACCCATTTGATCCGGCACCCACTCCTCTCCGGCCCTCTCCGCCGCTTACGCCGCCGCTAGTTCCCCTTCCACCACCGCTGGTCTCTTCTCCTCCGCCGATAGTAGTGCAGCCACCACCCCCATTTATATCAATTCCGCCGCCAGTCATCCCAACACCGTCGCCGCCATCAATACTTCCTTCACCGCCACCGGTGACACCGTCGCCACCTGCAGTAGTTTCTCCCCCACCGGCTCCGGTACCTTCTCCTCCACCAACCTCTCCGCCACCTTCACCATCACCTCCGCCGCCTTTTCCACCACCACCACCATTAGTCCCATCTCCACCACCACCATCCCCTGACTCTTCTCCACCACCTCCATTTCCTGATTTCCTACCACCACCACCATTAGTTCCTTCTCCACCACCGCCTGAAGAACCACCTTTCGTTATTCCGCCACCACCGGAAATACCCTTTCTGTTTCCAGCACCACCGCCGCCTGAACAAGACTCCCCAACGCTTCCAATTTTTTCTCCACCACCAGTTTTTCCATTTCCATCAGATAAACCTTCACCCATATTTTCTCCGCCGCCGGAGTTCCTCTTTCCGCCACCGGAACAAGACTCAGCGCCACCACTTATCCCCATCTTTTCTACACCACCACTACTTCCACCAGAAAACCCATTTACGTTTGCTCCACCAAGCATTTCTACTCCTCCACCGGACACCGATGTGACTCCGACACCAATATTTCCATTTCCAATTCCACAGTCACCGCCGGACTTGTTTCTTCCTCCGCCTGTAGTACCGGACACCGATGTCACTCCGACACCAGTATTTCCATTTCCAATTCCACAGTCACCGCCAGACTTGTTTCTGCCGCCGCCGGTGATACCGGACATTCCTGAGAATCCGGTGCAGCCGCTGCCATTTTGGTCGGCGCCACCAGCACCAGATGCTTTCGTTCAGCCATGGGAGCCACTATCTCCACCACCACTTCCTTTCTTCCCACCATTTCAGCTTCCACCTCAATCTGATTCACCTCCCTCAAATAAATAATTTTTTATTTTTTTTATCAACTTTTTTCCTTGCTCAGGTCTGTAGTTCCAAGCTAGAAGCTATCAGAAATAAACAGAGTGTAGTTCCAAGCTAGAAGCTATTGTAGGGGGTGGTTTGACATTTCTTATATAATTTATCTTTTTATTTTTTTTATTATATTATTTTTTTATTTTTTTATATATTTTTTCACAAAAAAATAAAAAATACACTTATTTAGGCTATTCTAAATAACCTTTTATTTACTTATATATAAGTTAAATTAATAAATTGCGTTACGAATGAATAGTAAATAATGTTAGATATCATGAAAATAATATTACGAAAATCATCATGAAAGATTCTATACCGTTGGATTGTACATATAAGAACGAGAAAAGATAGGGATCATGAAAAAACTTTCATGAAACTGGTCATGAAAAATTTATGATCCCTGGATTACCTTGATTAGTGTGTGGTGTTTTATTTTACAGTAATGCTAGGTATCATGAAAAGTCTTTCATGAAAATGGTCATGAAAGATTTGTGACCTTTGGATTACACTTACAATAAAGCACCACACACTAATCAAGGTAATCTAAAGGTCATAAACTTTTCATGATCATTTTCATGACAAAATTTTCATGATCTCTAACATTTCTCTTTATTTTAAGTGTAATCCAAGGGTCATAAATCTTTCATGATCATTTTCATGAAAGTTTTTTCATGATACCTAGCATTGCTCTATAAGAACACACCACGCACTAATCAAATGATGAAATTTTTTCATGAAATATTTCATGATTTCTAATATTATTCTTTAAAAATTAGCAGGCTCGTCTCTTGTTGAGTTTTTTAATTGGGAGTATTGTTGGGTTTTTGTGGATTCATTGTAGAGTCCGTATCAATAATTTAAATCGTTTAATATGTAAGATTTGTTGAATATTTCACCTCTATAAAAAATCATATTGATGAGATATTGATAGACACTTAATCAGATCACATTTGTATCATCAATTTATTTTTAAAATCATATTTACCATTGACACAAATGTAATATGATTAAATGAATATTGATATCTGATTAATGTGATTTTTTTTATAAGGGTAAAATATTCAACAAGCCCTATATACTAAATGGTTTAGATTATCGATACTAGTTTGTAGTGGACTTACAAAAGTCCAACAACACCGTGTAATTTGATTTGGACTGAAGAGGTCTTACACTTTTTAAAAAATGGGATAAGATATTTTGTTATCATTATTCATTGGTAAGAGCATCTCCAATGAAGCTATCAAAAGAGCTGCCAAAGTTATAATTTGGCAAGAGTGACCAAAAAATGTTCGCCAATGGCCTGTTATTTTTCTTACCAAAGATAGCAGATGTCATTTCTGTTATGAAATTTGGCCGGATGAATAGCAGGTGCCAATCATGCCATATCAGCAAATATCAACAGATTTTTTGCTTCAAATTTAGTTGAAAAAACATAATTCATTCAGTAGAAAAACTTCTCAAATTTCATAATCAAACACAAATTTTAAAGGAGCTGCGAAATTCACAAATTTCAGAAATAACTAAAAAAATTTAGAACAAATCACACAAATTTCATAATCAATTTAGATAAAATCAAACCCAAAAAATTAGTGAAGAATCAATTTCTCAAATTCAGAATCAATTTTAGAATTCAAAATCACACAAATTTCAAAATCAATTTCAGAATCATGCAAACAAATCACACAAATTTCATTTTCAGAATCACACAAACAAATCACACAAATTTCAATTTCAGAATCCATTTTAGAATCACACAAATTTCAGAATCAATTTCACAAATTTATATAAATTTCATAAACAAATTTAGATGATAAATACCTAGATCGACCTCTAGAGCTTTTCCTTTGGAGACTTGTAGGGCTCGTTCCCAAACCAATCGAGCTCCATTGAAGTATAAACAGTAGTGTTTAGCCAAACACTAGAGTTCCATTGAAATAGAGAGGGAGAGGGAGGGAGGGAAAGAGAGAGAGAGAGAGAGAGAGAGATGGACTGGCTTTGGAGATCAGAGATCAGTGATCGGTTTGAGGACAGAAGGAGAGATGCTCTTGATATCAAAGAGAGAGAGAGAGAGAGAGAGAGAGAGAGAGAGAGAGAGAGAAAGAGAACATACCATCTCAGCTAATTGGTTTGAAGACATAGAGAAAGAAAGAGAATACTGGTTTTGGATATCGGAGATCGGTGATCGGTTTGAAAACAGAAAGAGAGACGTTCTTGAGATTAGAGAGAGAGAGAGAGAGAGAGAGGGATATACTCGTTTTGGAGATCGGTGATCTGTTTGAGGACACAGAAAGAAAGATGCTCTTGAGATAAAAAAACAGAGAGAGAGAGAGAGAGAGTATACTAGTTTTGGAGATCGGGGAAAATTGTTTGGTGATCGGTGATCTGTTCGAGGACAGGGAGAGAGAGAGAGAGAGAGATGCTCTTGAGCTCAAAGACAGAGACATAGAGAGAAATAAGACACTATCTCTCAATCGACTGGTTTGAAAGGAGAGAGAGAGAGAGAGAGAGAGAGGGCTTGTGTCTCGAAAATTATGGATGATCATTCTAGAGGATGATCTCATTAGTTGGATTGTTATGTAATCAACAGTTGAGATCTTGTTCAGTAATCAACCTCCAAGATCAGTCCAAGTGTGCTATTTTGTTCATTTAAAAAAATAAAAATAAATAAAAACACAAGTGAAAAAGAAGCGCAACGGCTATAAATAAATGGTCAAAATTTTGAAAATCCTTAATAGCTACATTTAGAAGAAAAAAAGAAAAAGAAAGAAGGGGTCATATTTTATAATTCTATAAATACAAACCTTTTTTTTTTTCTCATTTTCATTTCACAACAAACCTCCCAAATTACATTTTTATTTATAGTTTTTTTTCCACATAATCACTATGGAAGGTTCATCAAAAACAAAGAGAGAAAAATCATTCATCATTGATGAAGATGTGGCACTTTGTAAGCTTGGTGTCACATTTCTGAAGATCCAATTGTTGGCAATTCATAATCGTATGCTCACTTTTGGGGAAGAATTTATGAAAATCATTGCTCACTTCAGAATGATCAGTCAAGAACACAAGTGTCTATCCAATCCCTATGGGGTGTAATCATAACGTTCCAACAAATTTGTGGGTATTTAGTGTAAGTCGAAAATTTACTCCCAAGTGGGATGCCTCAAGTTGATACTAGGGGTGAGCATGGTTCGGATTGGAGCGGATTGGGGTAAAACCAGGACCAATCCGTTATCTGGTTTCTGAAAAATTGAAACCAATCCAATCCATTTAAATCATGGAACCAATCCGAACCAATCCATTTAAATACGGATTGGATCGGTTTAGGACCACGGATTCACATAATTAAATAACAAAAATATATATATAACACTTTAATTTCATAAAAATATAAACATAGCGCTATATTAGTTCCACAATAGCAACATATTTTTTAATAATAGCGACATACTGTTCTAGAATTTAAATAACCATAAGAAAACTGGTTTCACCATAAGTATTTAGACCATTACAAATTTAAACTAAAAACTAATAAACTAAAGTAATAAAAGAAGATATTATACGATTTTATGTTTGAGTTTAGATTTTATATCGAATAAGAGAAGCTACTATGGGGGAAGATGTGTAATAAAAATATAGACTATTTGTATACGGTCTAGATTGGTTCCAATCCGGAACCAATCCGTGGACTACGGATTTTTAATTCTTCAATCCGGAACCGAACCACGAATTCAAAAAACCAATCCAAACCTATCGGATTGGACTGGACTGGATCGGATTACGGATTTCACGGATTCCTTGCTCAGCCCTAGTTAATACAGATGCTTCAAGCAAAACTTTTATATTATCAAGATGAAAATAAGCATTTTTCTTTTGAACATTGTTGGCCAATCTTACAAAATAATATCAGGTACGAACATAGTGAAGTCAATGATACATACATCATTTTCCCTTAATTCAGCCCCTGAATCCTCTATGGATAACTGCATTTCTCTTGAAGATGATAATAGTCAAAGTGTAGTAACAATCCAACTGTTGGTAATAATCCAATTGGTGAGGGCAGTGTCTCTGCAAGGGGTAAAAGGCCTATGGGTAAAAAATTTATAAAAGAATTGCTTCGGAAAAGTGAAGCTGTTCAAGTTGAAGTCCACAAATATGACAATTTGCTGGAGACATTTAACTAACATTTTGCTGAGAAGGAAATGAAAAAGGTTGAAAAAGAAGAAAAAAAAATTCAAGTGATGCATGAGATCAAAAAAGAAGATCATTTGCAGAAGATGAGAGAACTTGAGATTAATAAGGAAGAACGTTTGATAATGACTACGGACATTTCTCATTTTGACCCTTAGATGAAAGCGTATTACTTAATGCGCCAAAATGAGATTTTTGTCAAGTGGTCCGTACATGTCAGCAACCCAAATTACTATTTTTCCATGTGTCACAACCCGAACCCCGCTTAGTAAGGGTCGGTGAAGTGACCGGCCAGTAATCTGTGATTACCAAAGACCTTCCTATATAAATCAAAATAATCAGGGCTAACATAAGCTAATATATAGAAATAACCAATAGTCCATTGAGCTATGCAACTATATGAACGGCCATGTACATACATAACCATTAATTTACCCACATACAGGAATTCTTACATGCCATTTTGTACAACCTTTATACATGTACATATAAACAAAAGCCCAACATTTTGAACAGTAACTCGATATCGATTTACCAGACCTAGCCTCAACTCGGAGGCACCAAAACTTGTAAGGCTTTGAAGGGTGGCTCAACTCTTTCTCTAAGTTGGTTCCCCATGACG